ACTATAATCTGTATTTGCACCAGTCCCATGCAAATGACATTTGTCTGAATCTGTAGAGCACATGTCATGAATGTAACAGCACTATTTAAATGTTTCATAGCACATAATATAAGTGAGGAGCATATAGGGTTACACTCAGACATGCCAGACACATGGTCTTCAACATGAGTCCATGTTTATTTTATATTTTATTGTGTCAGCTTGAAACCATACAACCATGTAGTGTAGTCGAACAGGAATGTGCATGGCGAATCAAATCCCAAATAATCCATGAACCAGACGTCTTGATTGCAGTTCACTTTCCTGACCACTAGATGTCCTACTCGAACACTGTGTCATTGAGGCCCCGAGTAATGAACCATTTTTGTGAATACTGTGTCGAAGCTTCAACAAAGCCTTGATTGCCCAAATAAAAGTGCTTAAACAGTGTACAAAGAAGTAGTAAAATGACAGAAACACATTACCTTTGAGTGGAAGACAGACGTATTGTCGCTGTTTCCTGAGGTGGCTAATATATACTGCTGGCAACAAACAGCGGCGCACAAGGTTCAACTCTGCAAATTTTTGGTTAACTTATGGCATTTGACCCCGCCCGCTCGTCTTCAGCTGCCAATAGCAGAAGAACGTTAAGGAAGCTTCCAAGGAATCCAGAGACATTTTTTTCTAGGTTTCAACGGTCATGAGTTCATAATAAAAATGTTAAAAGATCACATAAACGCCTATAAAGGTCAAGTTTTTGTAGTTACAAGCAAGATGTGTACCAAGTCTAAAGTTATCTTTGTTTTGATATATTTAAAACAACTGAAAAAAATGTCATTTTCCATTGATGTTATCTTTAACAGTTTTGATATATTCAAAAAGAAAAAATTCTTGGAAAAGTCATTTTCCATTGATTTCTATAAGAGAAACAATTTTTCACAACTTGTACGAAAACCATAGATCGGATTTAATTTTGTGCACATACCTCAAAATTGTGGGAGTAGCATGTCGAAATTTTGGCAAAAATAAATAAATAAAATGGAATAATAACAACAACAAGGGGAAAAAAGAAGAAGCCTACAGGATTCCAAGTGGTGTGCTATACTCCTTTGGAGCTCACACACTTAATTCTAGTTCTATTAGTGACAACCTAGTTCATAGCACTGACTGTTCCTCTGTAATCTTCCCACCCACAGGAAGCTGTATAAAAAACATGGCAGAACTCCTGTCAGTTATCACCCGGGAGAGAATACAAACTGGAGTTAAAGAAAATCTTTGCAGTGTTTACTCTCCTCTTGAATTTACACTTTACCTGTTGATTCTACACAATGAAGCCAAACAACTTGGTTGCTGGTCTCACATTAGTTGGTTCAGAGACACCAGCCTGGTCTCTCTTCTTAAAGAAACGCATTGCAATATTTTGTAATGCAAGACACTGGGCCATTAGCCACGAATCCTTTAATGACAATGATCCTTTGAAAAATATAGTTAAATACTCGACTTAAAAAAGAAGCCCGACAGCTTTGTCAACAGATGTGTGATTAGTTCAAAGTGTGACTGAAGGGAATACACAGCAGAGAATTATAGACATGCAACATTGTCATAACACAAAAACAGCCAATGTTTTTACCAGAAAATATACAACTCAACAGGAACTATCTGCACAATCCTTTGTATAATGTTATTGCACAGACATGCAATCCAAAGCACATAATACAATAATTAAGCATTTATTTTAGTATAAATAATACACCTCTAGGCTTTTTTCCCCTCAGCTACTGTACATTATAGACAATGTAAAAGGAACCCAGAAGATGCATGGAGTCACTCACATTGCTCCTCAGTCTACTTGGCATACTGTCCACTGCGATATTTTATTCCAAACATAGACAGAGAAACTTTAAACAGATTTGTCATTTCTTCCTATACAAGTAAATATGAGAAGTGCTACCCTCATTCAGAAGCCAAAGAAACCACGGTCATGGCACCAGGACCAGTTTAAATTCAATATGCCCATAAATGACAGAGATAAACAATTAAGATGTGAAGCACTTGCAGAAAATAACATGTAGCCACATATATTCAAATAAATCAAAATATGACAGAGAGGGAAAAATAACTAGTATTGACACATCAGCTGACTTGTGACAAACACATTTGGATTACATTACCACACTGTATGTTCTAGCCCTCCTGTTATGTTGCAGGTCAAATTGACCCACGAACATAACTGCTGAGCAGGCATCACCTGAGAAATGAACATAACAGGAGGGTTCCCTCCTGTTATGTTCATTTCTTCATATCAAATATTTGTCTCATTTAAAGCAGTTATGTTTGTGGGTCAATTTGACCCGCAACATAACAGGAGGGTTAAAAGGCCATATATCTAGGTGGGAGTGAATCCAAAAAGAAAAGTGCTCTGTGAGAGAAATGCTTTTTCATTTTGAAGATTCACTTGCATAATAAAAGATGAGAAAAGAAAAAAAAACAGAGGGCCACAGGTAGAATCAATTCAATGACTCATCATCATTCAAAGATCACTTAGTATTCAAAGATCACTTAGTATTTCATCTTAGAAAGGTGACACGCAGTATTACATTTTATGGCTATTGTGCAGCCTGTAGTTAACTCACTCCCTGGCTTGAAATGCACTCACAACATAGATAATGTTTTTAATAGCGTAAAGAAAAAAGAGACAACAGCTCCTCTGCCTGCTGCTGAGAAACATTCTGACATGTCACCTCTTGTTCTTAAGCTTTAAGGTCAGAATGATTTCAAACTGTGAAATTACTCCAAGAAACAGACAAGACCTGAGTCATTAGCCTCACTAGCAGCCTATCTGACAGAGCAGTCTAATTCTTATTGTCCTAGTCTTCCCATTACTCTTTTAAACAGGTTTACCAATATGGTCCAAACCTGCCAGAACATCCCCTGCTGACAATCATGACATGGTGACAGTGTGGACAAAGACTTAAAACACATTAAGCATGGTTCGACTGCTGAGAACTAGCTTTAATGGTGGGACAGGGTTGGTATTGCAGTGGCTCTCAGTCCCAGTTTTCCCAGTCTTCATCCAGCTGGTAAAAAGATGAAAATGGTTAGAGAATTTCTCCCATTTTCACATATTAATTTAGGTAAGTAAGAGGAAAAATAAACACGAACCTCTCCAGAAGTTTCTATTTTAGAGAGTGCCAGCTGGACTTCTTCCTCTGTCATATCCAGGTCAAAGTCTTTCTCCCAGTCCTCACTCACATCAGTGCTGGAACCTACAGGGAGAGAGGCAAACTGTAACCTTCACATTGTTGCTTCCTCTAAGTCTATTTAGTAGAAAAGTCCTAGTCCTTAGGGCACCATACCTTTCTTGCCATTGTTAGAGGGTGTAGACTTCCCACTGTCAGAGTTCAGTTCAAACACTCTCAGGTCCTGTGGCCCCTCCTCCTTTGTCGCCTCAGCTTTTGAGACTAGGGCCCTTACTGGTGCCCCATCAACAGCGACCTCTGGCTGGGCTACAGCTTCCACCTTGACAGGCCTCTGCTCTTCTTGTGTCTTGTCCACAACATCTTCCAAGCTAGCTTGTGTCAGTTTCTTGGCCAGCTCCATGGCAACAGGCTCTGGCCGCACTTCCACCTGCGTTGGCAGGCTGACGCTGTCACTGCTGATTGAAAGGGTGGCATCACGCTCTTCGCTTGGAGATAGGACGGGACTCAGCAGTGTCGTTCCTGTGGGAGGTGTCAAGGTTTCGGGAAGATGGGTTGAACTGTTATCCAACGGGGGTGTAAAAGTGATTTGAGATGATGATGGGGTGCCAAGAAAGTCATCTGACAGTAACAGCGGGAATACCAGAGAGCCAGTGTAAGTGACAGGACTCAAAACATGGCAGATTATTAGCAGTGTAATGGTGATGCTGACATACCTTCCTCCTCCTCCTCCCAGCCCAGGATCTCTGTGTGTGTACTCTGTTCTGCTCTCTGCTTCAGTGCCACTCTCCGTGCCTCCTCCTGGGGTACACAGTGAGATTTTAGTCGCAAGAATTTTACTGTAGGACCTTCATAATTTTTATGGATGTGGGTTAGTAATATGCCAGTAAAACACATAAAATGGAAGCAATAATGCACACAGTGTCAAAAATCTGAATATGACAGTAATCTTCAGTAAGATTGACTGCAGGGCTGCTGTACCAGACTGCATTAACTTGCACTGGTATTCTCAGTCTTCTGATATTGCATGGTGTAAAAAAAGATTCTCTATTTGTGAACATACGAGGTGATTTGTCAAAATATCTTGGAATAAAATTCTTTGTAAGGTCTGAAAACCTTGCAAGCAAAATGTATTTACTAATTAAATGTATGTTTAAAGATCACATAAACATCTCCTTTTCAATTGGATTTAAAAGATTATCCAAACCACAGCCAGTGCTTTCTATAAGCAGAACAGGCAGATGGAGCCACTTATGCAGGTGTAGGACCTAGTTTGGTTTTACATGTATTTTCCTTTATAAGACAGGCAGGACAAACCTGCATCATGACCTTGCCTTGTGAATAACAATTTGAGGTGACCTTAAAATTAATCAGCAGGGGGCAGCAGAGCCAATGTATTCAGCTGGCATGAATAAAGTGAATACCTGGTCCAACTGGAAGACTTTATAGAAATACCTCTCCCAAAATTCAGAATGGGTTACAGCTGCTGGCACCTGTGGATTAAAAACCAAAAACTGTCCTTATCTGGGTTATTAGTCTAAAACAAAACTGGCTACAAATTCCATAACAATACAAACAATACAAAATGCGAAGAAAAGCATCAGTAGATACCATTTTGGTATAAAGGGCACGTATAGAGGGACTGTTGACCAAATGTTCTGAGATTTCTCCTTTCATATTTTCCAAACTGAAGCTGGACAGCCAGTTGTCAAACTGCTCTGGAGGACCTAGACAAAAATAATTCCTGATTAAAATTCACTAAAAGGCAAAGAAATGTGAAAACACATATGTAGTAAACATGCATTACACTATTTGTCACAATTGGTGCTCATATTGCTGAATTAAATAGTGAAACAAAACACAAAGCAAACGCTGATGCTTTTAATAATGGGTGAACATAAAGATAAAGGCAGATATGCTAAACCTAAACCTAGCAGCAGAAGGAAGTACAAAAACAGAAGCATGGTATACTGTGTATGTTAAAAGGAAGTCCAAATAAAAAGCTAGACTACGAGTATCAGCCACAATAGTAGGAAGCACCACAATTAAACATATCTTACAACTCAGTTCAAAACAAAACCCAATGAACAGTGTAACATTGTGAACCAAGTCTGACATGTACTCTCTGTGTACTGGCTTACCATCAGGCTCATTGCAGTATGTAGCAGGGTCAGCCTGCAGACTGTAGAGACGTGCCTACAGGAAAAGATGATTAATGATTAGGTGTGGTTGTTGTGCTTTTACATGCACATCATTTGCTCACTTTCAAAATCCTGCAGCCTCTCATAACTAAACTAAAATAAGTCCTGAATCAACACATTACTACAAAGGTTTTTCATTCACTAGCCACTAGCATTACATGAGGCCCAGCTCAAGAGCGAAAGGATGAGAGTGTGATGTTAGTTTAAGCTTAAAGTTACAGTATGGATCCTTTTTCAAATATCATTTTAGCAGAAACACCCCACAAAACTGATCTTAATGGGGAGAGTTGCTGTCAAAGGCTGTCGTTACCCAGAGGAAACCAAAAAAATTGGATTAGATCAAGAACTTAAATTGGCACCACTTTAAATAGATAGAGTTGAGAAAGAAATGAGAGACATTTGCGAGCAGACTTACTCTTTCTGCCTGATTGGTATGTTGTGAATTTATTATAGTAGTACGTTAAGGATTCAAACAATTACCCTTTGGTGCTTTTAGCTGAATCATGCTAGAATGTGTCATTTGCACTCCCAGTGTGGCTGTAACAGCAGCTGGCTAAGCTAAGGATGTCACTGTGTTGCTACTTTCCATTTGACAGCTACATCCAGGTAAATTCATACACAAGCCACATGGCCGGTTTACAGCAGCTGTTGAATCAATATGTGATCATGAATTACATTATTTTAATACCAACCAGCTGTATCTGTCACAGCCTCCACTGACCTGGTGACTATTTCCCAGGAGCCTGGCTCTTGTCACTGCAATTTGGCACCTGCTGCAGCTGCAGTGAGAGTTATGTGCTATTAGCTGTGCCTCTCTCTTCAGATGTAGCTACACTCAACAGTGTGTTTTATGCAATTTGAGGCATGTTTTCAGACAGCACGTCCTATATGATAGAAAAACTTGACTGACGTGTTTTTGTGAGGTGACCATGCAAAATGACTTCACAAAACATTTCTGTGGACCCATGTGGAATTTTCTGCTGATGTTCACAAACTCTGCTGGCTGCAAATGTGCTGTGTCCACCTGTCATGAAGTCGAATTTGCTATTCAGTTATGCTGTGTTTAAAGTAGACATAAAGCAGGGCAGTCAAGTCAGTAATGTTGTTTCAATGCCGAACAGTTGAATGCTGTCTGCTAACTTGGTGACTTTCTCTCCAAATTGTGATACTGTGTTACTGGTTTGGTGCTCATGATGGGGTGGGTGGAGCAGAGCAAGCAGGAAGAAGAAGGGCTGAGTGAAGCAGAGGCAATTAATTCTAGAGTCTCATGCTAGTGCTAGCTTACTGCCCACCTTAGTACTGTCGTAAACCTCCGTGGTTCCTGCCGCCGTTGCCACCAATGTGATAACATCGCGGTCAATGGTTTTATCAGGGGGTGGAGCAAGTGTGTCTGTTATCACTCCTAAGAAACTAGAGAGGCTCTTCTTCACCTTCTCTGTGGTCTCTGACGATCCTTCCACCTGGCGAACAGCGCAAATAGACGTGTAGACAGCAATACTGCTATACTGTCAATCAAAAACAACAACCCAAGTTAAAGGCCTCAACTTACTGCAAGTTTGTTTCTGACAGCAGTAGCCGTAGCCACAATTGAGCAGGCTGTGTCATGTTGTACCACAGTGGAGAACTCTGTCAGGTCTCGCTTAAGGAAGTCTAAGGCCTCAGATGACTGTGAAGGAGAGGAGTCAAATAATCGACATCTAAATCGCCTCCCATAGGAAAGCACTGTTTAAAAAAGTATGTGTATAAATTGAAAAAAACTATAAGTCATAGCCTAGAAAACATTTAAAATTGACAATATATCTTTTAAATAAAACAGAACATACTGCTTCTGTTAATAAGGACTGTACATAACAAGGTTAAAAAAAACTTCAGGCACTATAAATGAATGCACCTCGCATCCATTTTATTTTGGAATGTCTTCAAATAACATCAGTTTTCTTTCTTCGAAGTTGAAAGAAATTCCTCAGGGCAACATCAGCAAAAACACTGTAAATGCCAAACAGTTCCTAAAGATACACAAACGATTTAGTATTTTCCATCAGGTGTATAACCCTTTATTTACCTTATCTTTCACGGCCTGGAAGCTCTGCTGAAGCCAGCCTCCCCACCAGCCTTCTCTGCGGTCATACACACATTTAGACTTTAGATTGAGAAAAGTATTGCACAAACCCAACAGGACCGCTGTACATCGAATGGTCACAATGAGTCTTCAGTTTAGCAAGACTTCAGGCTGTCAGCCTCTGACTTTCACAAGCTATCTTCAGCTAAATCACACATGTAGCCTAGCAAGCTAAACGAGTTTGCTAACGTCAGATACCAACTCGATACAAGCTCATTTGTTGAAACAAGCCGTGCGTATATTTATAAGGCTGCATGTAAAATAGTAGATAAAATTTTAAATTATCCACATATAAAGCTTATTGGATTTAACTGTGCGATTTGAGCTGCTCTACACAACAACTAGCCAGGCTATGCTAACGCTAACTAGGCTATGTTTTGGTAAACAAATGCACTTCCTGAACTGATTCCGGGGACCATCGAATACAACTTTTGAACAAAATAATTACAGCAAATCTAATTAGACAGAAAGAAAGTTAGGAACACAATATCTAGTTAAATTATGGTCTCAGGCACAATACAGTTTAAAACTAAAACTAATTTGCGAGTTCACTCTTACCCCTCAGCCATCTTCAGACGATGACATCATCAGTGTTAGGTAAACTCTGACCCCGGATGTAAGGCTTTGAAAAAACAAAACACACACACGTGATACAACATGACTTCCCTTTTCCGATCAACTACATAGACAAAACAGCTACATATAGAGATAAGTCATTGTTGTTAAACTGTTCTTTATAGCTTATAACCAGCAAATGTTTTACAGTCTTTGGTAGCTATGGTGTCTGCAGACTGCAGAGGACAAAACTTTCACCGGAAAAAACCGAACAGTATATTGGTAAATGCAGAAGTTTAAAAAGTAGGTCTACTCTAGTTTGAAGAAATCTGCTAGAGGACTTCCAATTGTTATTGTCGTAGTTTTGATGCTTGGTTAGAGGTGCTGTGTTTCAGTATTGCCATCAGGAAGTGGAACAACATTATATAAACATCTATCTAAACAACAGCAAAATTTGTTAAACACTGCATCATAGATTCACACATCCAGTCATTTAGTGGTCAAAAAGTGAAACTAAAATTTGGTTTGTTTACTACTAGATAATACAATATCATACCATACCCATACCCATACCATAGACTCTCACTGGTCAAAAAAGTGACAAATCCAGTGTGATGCAATGATGTCTGTGACTTATTATTGTCACCTGGACATGAGAATCGAGTTTTAAATAAACTTTCTAAAGCTGAGAGAAAGTATATGATATGGAACAAAGTAATTCAGGAATGGCATCAGTGTTGGGAACAAGAAACAAAAGGGAGGCATTTGTTCTCACTGCAGAACAAGAATACTTAAAGAGCTCATATTTCTCCGCTAAGGCACAACATTCACTCACCCAAATGGTTCCCTTGTGAAAAGTGAGATCCAGAACAACATGAATTGTGTCCTAAAGTCCTTGATCCTGATTGGATCCAGATCATCTTTTCGGGTCTATTTCAGGAATAAGCAGTATAGATAATGCATGGATGGATAGGCAGTTAAACTGTGCATCATACTTGAAAGTTTCAGGGTTATTTCTTCATTATAGGCCAAATTATAGCAGGAAAGATGCTTTAATTGGGGTTTTCATTGTTCATTTTAAATGGCCATCAGATCCAGAATCTGGATCAGAGCTGGATAAAATTTGGTCTGGTGATAAACATTGACACCCTACATAAGTGTAGGGTGTGCCACCCCCCCCCCCCCAAAAAAAATTTATTTTGATAACTTTTGATGGAGAAAAATTTGTTTTTCAAAAATGCTTCCCCATGTTCAAGATGGGAATTTTGACTTTTGACCCATTTCACCCAAAATCTATAGAAGTGATTATAATCACTTATATGGTTGGTCCCCACCAGTGTCTGTACCAAGTATGCTGATGATCTATCCGACCGTTTGTTTGTAATCCTGCTAACCAACAAATACACACACACACAGAACCGAAAACATAACCTCCTTGGTGGCGGTACTAAGAAAAGGAGTATGAGGGGTCAAGAGTAGTATTGACTACAATGAATATTGGGCACACAAATCTAAATGGCACATGTAAGATTACATGTGAGCATCTAAGTGGATTATGTGAGGAGTAGCAGCAAGCAGAAACAGTGGAACTTGTTCTAATATAACACAGAGGGTATGGGGCAGAAATGGAAGTGAGAGTGCCAGCGCAGAGGAAGCTTGATTTGGAGGAAAATTAAAAAATTTTATGGAAATTAGAAGGAAAGAGAGAGATTAACACTTTTTAAATTTCTAATGGATAATCAAAAAGATATACTAGCCCAAGTCAGAAAGTGGCTGGCTCCTGTTAACCATCAGAGGTTATAAATTCAGACCCACCCCCCCCAAACCAACAGGCATCATACCTGGTTTGTCCTAGTGAATGAACCAGGCACAACAGAGATTTCTCTGTTGAGAAAAATAAAATCTTGTGTTCAGTGTCTTCCCCTCTCTTAAATGCTCTGCATACCATGTTATATATGTGATAATTGTGTGAAAAGATCCAGAATTAATCAAAAATACTTTTCTTTGCAGCTAAGTGCATCATAACAAAGGAGGAAACTGCAGGATGATATTTCCATAGGGGAGACTAATGATTTAAGCATATGCATGTTGTTTTCTTTTCATTAAAACTTGTTGAACCAATAGGCTGTGCATGAAACCAAACAAATGTATCCAGACTAACCTTTCTTTCTTGAGCCATTAGGTTGGCTAATTAGTGTTTAGAAATCCCAACTGGAATCTCGGCATCAATCGCCTCTTTCCTTTACATCTGTGAACATGCGCATTGTTGTATTGTATGCATGTGGCTGTTGACTCCCAGCAGCTGTGCTCTCCCCTCACCAATATACTGGATGAAAGAGGGGTTGTAGACTTTACTGAGTACAAAATGAAAAAAAAAACAGGCAACAAGTCCTTGGAAGTGTGTTTTCTCTTAATTGAAGTTCTCTTTTTCCCAGATGCTACACAATGTGTGTGTGTATATTCTACAATATGTCTCCCCCGTCCAGCTCCTCAAGCCTCTTAATTGGGTCTTTCAGTCCCTTAATTAACTCTGTCAGGGCAGGTTGTGCTGAGCCAAACTGGGACAAGTACTCCTCTGTTGATCAGTATCTGAAGATGTGAACTGATCCATCTGTTTACAGCAGAAAGGGAACATGTCACTATGTCCTTTGTGTTCCTAAACTAAGTACATTTACAAGTACTGTACCTAAATACAGCTTTAAGGTACTTGTGATTTACTATTTCATGCTACTTTATATTTTTTACTTTATTACATTTTAAATGAAAATATTGCACTTTTTACTCCATTACATTTATATGACAGCTGTTATTACAATTTTACTGATTCTTTTTCATTTAAAACATATAATTAGGCATTTACAGTTCATGTATTGTTCAGTGAAAACACCTTCCTGTTATCAGGTCATTTTAGTCTAGAATTGAGTTTACATAGTATAGTTTTTTGATAAAAAACTTTGAAAAATGTCAGCCATTGTTGTAGGAATATTTTAACGTGTTTTCAACATAAATAAAATATTTATTTCAAATCAACTAATAATTCATGTGACATTCTTTCTTTTTTCAAGATGCAGAAACCCATTTATGGTGTACTGTTTTTGTTACTTTAAGTACAATTTGATGGTCTTTTACTTGTAAAAGATTATTTTAAATTTGTAGAATCCCCACTTTTGCAATATTAACTGTGTGCATAATTATGACTAAAACCAGTGCTGCCACTCCTGGGTAGCATATGCTAAAGAGCAGCACGATGACAGCAGCGGCTGACCATAATGGCACACATAGGACCTGCCCATATTGTATGATTTAAGAAGCATATCCATTACACACCACCCTCATCACACCCACACCCACACACAGTCCAGACTGCTGATGCTACACCATGGGTTAATACCATCTGGTGCCGATCAGGAAACACCAGCTTTGCACAAGTCATTGTCTCTAATTATCTACCTAGAGCAAAGGGAGGCCAGTCCCCAATAATCTCCACAATGTGTTCTGCTTCCCATTCCCACCTGTGCCCAAATAAAGGGGGGTGGGGGGGTGGCCTTGTGGGAGGACTCAGGGTCCCAGTGTCAGGAAACCAGGGACCAGGTGATGGTGCTACGCCAGTCCTCACGCCAGCAGCTTCAGCGCTTGGTTTGCGTGGCAGCTGCCTCCCCCCACTGAGACATCCCACAGCTGACAATCCCCCAGTACTGACAGGGGCTCTTTAGAGTGTCAATAGCCTCATATATTAGAGCTAACCGCTTTTGTGGTGAGCGAGGGTGTCAGGCCTTTTGGCCCGACAGCGCTTGTTACCATGATGAAATGTAGATTGAATGGAGGGGATCTGTGTCCCAGGCACGAGAGTTTGGTCTGCCCCGTCCATTGTGTCCCACGCATGGCTATTGTTCAGACCTATTCAGGACCTTCAGAAGGAGGAGGGGTAGGAAGGAGGCGGGTGAGAATGAGTTACATCTCTTCATCTCTGCCCTGATCTGTAACTCATCTGTCAGCCGTGGGAGGATAAGCATGTATTTTACACGCTTGATTTATTGCTAAGTGGAGGCCAGCTATTGCTGGGTTGTTAATTCATGCTAAATCACATCTGTGGCAGTGTGTATAATAGTTATTTTTATGGTATAGTTTATGGTATAGTTGAGTAATTATTGTCACTAGTCAACTAGCTCTTTTGAGCATAAATGCAACAGAATTTGGTGGGAAATGTTTGTTTATTATGTGAAAATATTCATCACACTACTACAAGAAATTCCTGTATGATTTTAAACGGAACATTTTTAGACTGACTGCATTATGTCCTCTGCTTTACATTTGCCCTTTGTTTCCCTATATCCATGTTCTTATGAGACAGTGACAAATCGTTGGCCTGCAGCTAAGGACATGGTTATGTCCCTCGCCTGTGTCAGACAAAAGTGACGCGCCTTCCTGGCGCCTGTGTCACCCTTTCATCTCCTGCACCCTGTTGAGGTGAAGATGGATGGTCCCCTGGCTCAAGAACACCACATTCAGCCTCTGTGCTGGCATATTGTCTCACCCTTCTGTCCCTCTTTGGTTCTTTAGAGGTTGGTCTGTCCAAAGCTGTTTAGCGACCAATGACACACTTTTTGCACTCATCCCTTGTCCTTCCAAACATCAACACACTGTTAAAAAATGTTACTGGCTCTGCTCTATATTTTTGTGTCTTAACCCCTTACACAAAAGTAGCTGCATTATAAAAAGAAATAGTAATAGAAAAATACAATAGTATAAATATTTCAGGATGGCGCTCATGAAGAGAAGGCAAACAAGTTATTTTTGTAACAAAATTTTAATTTAGGAAAATAGAAATCTTGCACAACAGAACATAACAGTTCCTTTTTTGACAAGTTTTCATCACCACAGATATCAGATAAATTACAAACTTTGCTTTGATAAAATCCCATTTGCATTCAGAGTTTTCAGTATGCAGAAAAGACAACCGATAAAAAATAGCAGCAGATTGCATTGCAGAAACTATATACAGTATGCACAAGCTGTGACACCACCCATCGTTCACTCAGTTCATGTAACAATCGTCTTTGCGCTGTTTTTTTCTTTCACTATGTGGCAGGCTATGGAGTGTGGAGGTAGTGGTGGGCAAAGGCTGGCAGAGTGAGCAGGGGCAGGGCATGCCGGGAAAATGCCTGTAGGAGCTGGTCAGGTGGAGGGGGTCCTTTAGAAGGCTCTGGACTGGAGCATGAAAACTCAAGAAGCTGGTAGATGGAGGGGAGTGTGGGGCTGGGGCTGAAGAAGGAGAAGGTGAGTGATGCTGGAGAGTGGAAGGTGTGCTGCTCACCAAAGTGTGCAGGGACTGGGACAGAGGATGCAGGGGGAGATGGGCAGGGTGGGTAGAAGTGCGGCTCTGCACAGCAGCACCTCCATAAACATCTCCCACCAACTTCTTCATCTCCTCCAAAGAGCTGGACAGCATGAGAATGTAGTTGCGTGCCAGCAGCAGGGTGGAGATTTTGGACAGCTTGCGGACCGAGGGGCCGTGAGCGTAGGGCATGACCTCTCTCAGGCCGTCCATCGCCTGGTTCAAATCATGCATTCTTTTCCTCTCGCGGCTGTTGACCTTCAGTCTCAGGTCATGAATCTCTTCTTTGCTGAGCTCAGAGCGGGTCTTGGTTTTACCGCCCCTGCTGCAGAGCTCGGTCCTGCCCTGGTCGGCCTCACTGTCTGCTCTGTTCTCTTGGCAGTATGTCTGAAACATCTTGTTGGAAAAGAAGCTCCCAGCTGAGTCGTCCACCACCAGGTCTGGGGATGAGGAGCGGCTGCAGGTTGAGTCAGCGTCGGAATCCATCATAGCTTAAGCAGGAGTAAATGAAAAACTGTCCAAAAATGATTTCAAAAATGATTTCCTAATTTCTTGAGCAGTTCCCTGTAATGTCTCTCAGCATTTGTGCTGTTCACTCTATTGATCCATCTGTCCACAGGAGTGAGTCTGTCTAATCTGTCACCATCTGGGCCAAGTGGGGTGTATTTGTACCACCGGCACAACAAAAGAACAATAAACTGCATAATGAGACACTTAGAACCACAGCCAATTGCAGAAGGGACACACTTTCACACCCCCACCCCACCCCCACTCTACCCACCTCCTTTCTAAAGCCCCCATTACACCTTCCCACATTAACTCTTCCAACCCTGATGAACCTCCTACACATTAACCAGGAGATGTTCACATGTTGTGTTAAGCTATACACATATGACCAAAAACTCATTAAAGACTGTTAAATCATATATGTGTGATGACAAGTAAAAATGTTCATTTAAGTAAGTATGATGAAGTAAAAGTGAGAGTGAAAACTCCAAACCTACTAATGAGTAAAACCACTGTTTTTATTGCCCTGTTCCATAATACCAGATATATGATGCCTTCAAGGGCTTATTTACATATGGTATCCATGAGACGCTCTAGAGAAAGGTATGAAGCACCATATGAGGTACTTAAACATGTAAAGAGCAGCATTAATGGCAGACTAGATACAATGGAACCAGGAGCTCAACACAGAAGGGGTCAGATAAATTTGACTTGGCTCCTGAAACAGTGTGAAATCACATCCCTATGCCTGAAAGGAGGTCCCTTCATCTGGGGAGGAGGTAGTTAAAAAGATACTAGAGTTAGCACAGCATTGTCTTCCCCTAATTCAATCATAAAGCTACTAGAACCTTCCCAGGTTTAGTTTTTATAATTGTTTAAAGAACATTTTTCACACTTTCTTTCTTTTGGTGGTGTCATGAACATGAGGCAAACTTAAATAAATTGTTCTATAGCATCCTTCTCATTTCAGATGCAGAACTTTTCATCTATGACATATAAATTCCTGCCAGGATAAATGTCCAGCATGTATCTGCTAATCTAATCTTGTGGCTGGATCAAGCTGACTTGTACACATCTCTCTCTACGGTGTTCAGAGGCTGGATTTCATAGCTCATGTCTGGAATTTCCTACCTCCCTTTTGCCCAGCAAAGCCTCCAGTGCAGCAGCGCTAGAAGGCCATTAGTTTGATAATAAAATAAAACTGCTCATGTGTTACACCAGTAGCAAAAGACTTATGCAAAAACATCAGCTGTGTGAACTTTGGTTGCAGCATTGATTCTTGCCTGGAGCACAATAACTAGTATACATCTGTTATACTGTACAAGTCTTCTGTTCAAATGGAAGAAATATTATAGAGGCTCCCCTGTGTCTTTCCATCATCTATCAACTCATCTGAGAAACTATTTGAGTTTCTCTTCGTCTGCACAGCAGGACAGGACACCCAGATTTATATTTACCAACACATCTAGACATTCTCCTCCAACAGTAGGTGTCTGTGCTTCATGATTGTTGTAGAAATGGTTGTCTACAGGAGTAAGTTTGGATTGATCACTGACATCAAATTCATATGTGTTGTGTATATTATTGTTTCCCAACATTCAGAGCTCTCTCTCTGGTACACCATGCTTTAGTCACGGTATGTATTGGTCTGATTTCAGCTGGTCGCATGGCGTCCAATTTTTGTGACTTGGTGTGCACAGGGCCGGTTTCCAGTACATTACTTCTATTGCTATTCCAGCAGTGTAGATTGTGTTTTTCTCAGCAGTGACACCTATCATTAAGGAGAAGACTGCAGTGAGTCTAGTGCACCTCAAGTTCAAGTATAAATGGCTCTGGCTCTATGTTGAATTACAGTTTGAGAGTGCAATGTCCAATACAGCCAGCATAACAGTGAATTTACGCATTCACTTTTTATCTGTAATTTCATTGCAGCAACATTTGAAAATGGAGTCTCTCACTTAATACCTAATACCAAGGGCTCCGTGTTGCAAGCTAATACACATTAGCCAAGACACATTTGACTTGTTTTCTGACCTTGTACCTGGCTTTGTTGGTTTATGGAGTGTTGATCCACGTCAGTGTTTGATTTTTATTTTATTTTTTTTTCTCTTCTGCATGGATACTGTGAGTCATGAATAGTTAGTCTGTGTTTAAGGGTACAGCAGGACGCTGTGCACATCACTGTGCAACAATGTACAGATGTACATTAGCTACAGCAGCCAACCACAACTGCATTAATTAATTTGAGTTTCTCCTCCATAGATGGTATACGGTATGTACAGATGAAAAGAGATGTGTAACACTCTAAACAAAGTGAGTAATTAAGAAACTCCATATTTTAACTAGCGTAATGCAGAAATATTAACTTCTCCAGCCTTACAACAATTCTCCCTAATGTTACAGAAATAAGGCATTAACAGACATGGAAGGTGTGTTTTTTTAAACTTACCGTTAAATCCCACCGAGTAGTGAAGACATCACTCCCTCTCAAGTAGGTCCAAGGTCGGTAAATCCAACCAGTGATCACCACGTCTTCCTTCAGAAATCTCTCATGTTACAGGTGACCACAGACACACTGGTCTCAAACAGTCAAAACAAACAGGTACCATGCTCCGGTGGAATCCAGCGTTGATCAGCTGATCATTCTGCCACACCAGAATGCTTCATAGGCCGGCTGCTTTCCAGCCACTCCATTCACACCACATTAGACCTGTTCAGGTGAAACAGCGGGTCCCTGTACAGGAACATTCCCGGACCTGCAGTAACCTCAGGCCCTATATTTTTCTTCACATTCTCTGGTCACAGTGCAGCAGCAGGAGGTAAGCTGTATCCACAAAACCACATGCAGTCGAAAAAGCTCACATGAACGTGCAACTGCCTGGAGATTATGGCCATTCAAGGAAATCTTTAAACTACTGTGTAAGACTTTACATGGTTGGAAAACAAAATCTCACTAGCGACAGTTCATGAGATTTGTATAAACCGTGTTGCTTCTGCTTAGAAGTACAACAACATAGGTACACCTTGTTTTTTGAGCTTTCAGTCATATTTAAGATGATAATTCTTTGTTGAAACATTGTGGATAAGTCAGAAAATATAGAAAAGCATGCCATGGGCTCTTCAAGAAATATAGAAATACAGACGTTTGTGAGTTCATCTGGACAAAGTTTCATTGAGGCTCACACTGGTCTGTGTGTGTGTCACTGTGCGTTCTGAAACTAAGAACCAACACACATGGATCCACAAAAAGTTAGAAGTGGACCCCCCACCACAGCTCCATCAGGGTGCCCCGCAGGGTGCATTGACTCAGCCAACATTCACTGACAATATAATTGGGGGACTTTGAGAGCCAACATGGGCCATTTATTTGGAGCATATGGATTTTCCCATCATTAGGCTAAGAGCCAACATGGCTGTTGGACTCTTCCCTGTTAATTGGGTCAGGTCCTAATTAACTATGCTGGACATAATGGTCTGGATTTCATTCAGTCTTTAAGGCGTTTTAATGGCTGGTTTTGAAGCACAGCTTTCAGTGTGCTTTACTCATTCTAAAGAAAAGAAAACAGTTAATACTGTTCCTTTGTCTTAATGGTATTAATAAATAATCTACAAATTCAGGAAAATGTGCAAATCACCTCATTAATTGAACACGAAGTAAGATTAGTATTATTGTCAGTCATATAACAGAGTGATAATAGCTGTTCTGTATAAGTAAAAGTAGAATCACATACAGGGCTCTAGCTGAGTTAAAGCAGTGTAGTCTGTCCTTCTCTAACTCCATTATTATACGTATGTATGGGCCAGATAAATCCTATTCTCCTGCTCATTCTTAATCCTATACATGTGTTTACAGAGGCAACAGGCCATACAGAGAGACACAAGGATCTCTGTGCTTTATATTTTACAAATAAAAGTGTAGCCATCTCCCATGTTTCCACATAATCCTTTGATTTTTAACTCTGCATCAGTGTTTGACTTTCTTCTCAAACTGTCACCTTTCAGGAGCCTTCATTCAATTCAAGGGCTCTGTGACAGACTTTTTCAGGCTTTAGAGATCCCATTCTGCTGCCTCACAGGATGCACTCCAATGGAAGTGCTCAGGTGACCAGAAAATGAGGGCATTATCACAGGCATATGCTTGTAGTGACAGAGGATCAAGCTAGATTAGGGCCTATCATGGCTCAATAAAGTGCTAAGCTGGAGAGCAAACTAGCACTGTGTACTGTAAGGCTTCCTCCACTCTCTGTTGGTTATTGTTTAAGAGGATCAGCAGCGAAATCTTCTGCACCCACACACACACTGAGCTTTAATCTGGACATGTGGTCGAGAGAACCCACAGAGGACACACCGCAGTCTTTGTTTGCCACTATTTTTCTCAGTGTTGCTTGGATATCAGATCAAATCAAGATCATAGCCGTGTTCAGCAGTAGCAGATCTGTGGAACTGGTTCGGTCTGCTTCATCTGTGGATCTAAACATTTTATTCTGAGTACCAGTGTCTGGGGTGAGAGAGATATAAAATAGTTTCACAAAGTGTCTGAATGGGCCGACAAGTGTTGCTGAGAACGGGGAGTGCTGCCCTTTGTTATCTCTCACCGCGGGGACAAACTGCTCTGTGATTTATTCATTTACACTGCCTGAAACAATTGCATTATCTGGACCACAACAAAAAGGCACAAAGGCACTAAGAAAATCCCCTAGGATGTTTATGAGTCACTAAAGAGTCCAATAACTTTCCCCTTCATCTTTAAGCGGCAGTGGCGGGCTGCATGCTGTGGAGGGCTGCAGGGCGAGGGTGGGATGGGGGTGGCGGCAGCCCAGAGAGAGATGCTGATTGTGGGCTGGATAAAAGGAGTCTAGGCCCTCTCCTCTGGAGGTGAATGGGGCTCCGTCCCATACACTGGCCTGCTCCATGCTGATAAACTTCATAAATTACCTCACAATTACCCCAGGGGGCCACAGAGGGAGGAAAGAGAGGCC